TGCAAGAATATTTATTTATTTATTATTTTTTTTTTTTGTTGTTGTTTTTAGATTGTTAAATGTATTTATTGTTTAAAAAAAAACAAATAATTAAAATGATTATCACTCATATTTTTATGAAACTTACGGAGTTGAAGTATACATATTAGTTTCTTGAGTCAGAGAATTGCTTTCAACAGACGTAATATCAAGTTGAACATTTTCAATAATATTTAAATTGGATATTGGTGTATTATTTTCTAGTTCTCTAATTTCATCAGTGATTAAACTAAAATTAATTAGGTAGTAAAAAAAAAATTAATATAATTCCATACGACAATACCTATACTTCTACATATATTTATTTTTTTATTTTTTTAATAAACAAGAATATATATTATATAGGTACAGTTATCAGTTATGAACTGTTTACGGACAGTATAAAAATACATAGGCACATTTTTTAAATTATATTTTAGTTAAAAGTATCAAATTCAAAATTTAAAAATGATTTAAAAGTCAAAAATTTATAAAATGTTCAACTTTTATAGCTAAGGATTAAAAATTTAAAACAAGGTTCCACGTATTAGGTTATTAGGTTATTGCAACCAAAAAATATAAAAAAATGTGTAAAGTTATTTCATGTTCAAATTTAGACAAAATTAAATTTTAAATAACCAAAAATAACGATTTTATTTATTTTGCTGTAATTTAAAAATAAAATTCGTGGGTAAGTATTTGAAACTTCTCAAGTATAATATTATATCATGCAAATAATATTAATTCAATACTTACCGGCTATCGTATTAATATTATTACAATTTAAATAGCATATAAAATATCCTGATCTTTTGTTTTAAACCACTAAGTTTAAAAAATAATTTAAAATTGGTATTGACGTGTTCTTAATAATAAATTATATGTAATTTAGGTCACTTACCTAGTTTGTTTTGATCGTTTTAGTGCAAGTGTCTTTGTGATAAATTTTTTAGACGATTGTTTTCTTTTGAGCGAATTTTTTTTATTTGCCATGATGAACAGTATCGCCGTACAATTATAAAAAATTATGTGTACAATTTAACACAAAAATAGTTAACTACGGTCACAAATATTTGCATTTAAATTAAACAATGATGTGATCACATTGAATAATCCAGAAGGAATGGTTATTTTTCGTAGAGACTACTTTTGATAAATCGAATATTACAATAATTATTATAATATTTATAGCCTATAGGTACTTGAACATTTATTTTTGTACTGATTTTTGGAAATGCATGCAGATATTATAGTAGTCTTATATAATAACTTCCGCTATCCTAATTATTCGTAGTAACTAGTAACTAATAATTAATTAATAAGAAATATGATGTGTAGTGTGTAGATTTATAAGTTTATAATTATAACTAATTTTTTTTCCGATTAGGTAGTATAACTCCTACTTCGTCACTTAGATATATAATAATATAATATAATATAATATTGAGTTCAATTAATTTGAATACCGATTCAAGAAAATTGTTTACGTTATAGCAATATACCGTTTGAATTTGTAGCGTGTATTCTATAGGGAATTTGGGATTTTGTTTTATATGAGTATAGGTACTTGAATTATTGCTGCACTAATTATTATGTCTACTGTCAGAAAAATGAAAATATTAAAATATTCGTAATAGCATTGAATATTATTATAGTTAGTCAGTAATGGACCGCCGCGCCCGCCTTTGACAATATTGTCCGATTATAATAATTTTATAAATTCATAATCGGCATAATCTATTCCAGGAAGCGACTATCGAACTATCGTCGCTAATAACCGATCCACGATGCACGGATGAAATATACTATTTGGCGTAGAGGGGGGGATCACGGCTGCCACAACTTTAAGCAGGTGGCAGCAGCGGGTGTGCACTCACTAGATACAAAACCATACCCATACTTATTAGTAATTACTACATACACCGGGAGCGCGTCGTTGATATCATGGAAGAATGTGTATATGAAACTTCAGCTATCCATGACGAATTTGATAAAAATTATTATCATTATTCGATTATAATCAATAATCATGATTATCAATGAAAATTCAAAATAAACAACAATAATAACATAGAATAATGATTAATTCATAATATTATTATTCATATTAATTATTATTTAGTATTAATATTATTACCATAGAATAAAGATAATGATTTATAATGATTATTACATTCAAATGTAATATACTTGAAGACCAAATATATGATACAGATAAGTACCAAAATAAGTTAAATAATTTAATGTAGAATTGTGATTTGTGGTATTAAATTATTTATTTAACTTCATAGGTAATAATGCCGTCCAAAAATTGTGTTGTAAAAGATTGTAATACTTTAAAAAAAGTTATTATGCATCGCTTTCCGCTTAAGTCTCCAGAGGATTTTAAAATATGGGTAAAACGAACGGGTAATGATGCTCTACTTGGATTGGAACATGAGCAAATATACCAATCGTTTGTTATGTGTGAACAACACTTTGAAATATCATGTAGAAGTCCAGGAACAAAACGTTTGAAATGCAAATCTCTGCCTACACTCAATTTACCAAGTACCAAAATAAATAAAATAAAAATATTTAGTGTTGCATGTACATTAATACTTATATGTTTGTGTTTATATGTTTGTATTTATATGTGATTTTGTGGTAAACACTTGGAATGGAGTTTTCAAGCCAAGTTAACAGAATTTTATATTCAAATTTTTAATCAATTTTGCTAACCTAATGGGTAATTACATATTTCATGATCTAATTGATATAGTTTTTTTTTTATTAACAATTGAATATACATACATTAATTTTTATACTTTGTTTTGCTTGAATAGCTCTGGGTAATGTTGAAATTGACAATGAGAGAACATTAGATAATAGTATTTCAAATTCTGTTGGTGAGAAGACTATNTATCTAAAGCATAAGGGTAATAAAAACAAAAAATGAATAACTTAGTTTCCCTTTTGTATATTTCTGTTTTCCATTTTTACAGGGTTTTGATACATAAATGTACCTACCTATTAGATATTGGTATGTTTTTTATTTATTGGTACCTATTTCTATTTTATAAATATAGATATTTTTATTATTAAATTTAAAATTGTTCGAGCTTTTTTTTATTATAAGCAAATTACCATATTTTAGCATCGCTCATAATATTGTTTTGTAAATATTTTTTATGTTTTTATATGGTATAATTATTATAACACCATAATTATTAGGAAGTACCTATTGAAATAATGAGTAAGTATTATTTTTTGATTATCTAACATGCTATTCAAATATATATAATTATTATATTTTAATAAAATAAATAAACATTTGAACTGTATTACATTTTATTCATATTATAATATACCTAACTATGATCTTCCTTTAAATTGTTAATTTCCCTCAATCATTGTACGTCGTACCGTGGCCTGGTGGGATTATAACGCTAACAGATGACGGGGGTGGCGAAGCGGGTGTCGGTTCAATACTCTCTGCCGCCAATTATAATTTTGCACTTTTTTACAAGCTTAATACTGACGACAAACACCGGGAGCGCTAGTGCTACAAGAACAATTATTACCAATGAGTGTCTATTCTATCTTATCTTTATTCTATGGGTGGCAGCACATGACGGTAATGAAAAATGAAATTTAACGACGTAAACATGTTTACGCAAAACAAACGAAAAGGCATTAAAAAATGGTTTTAGAGTAAAAACACCTATTATAAAATATGTAAAGAACAATATTTCGGAGGGATTCTCATCGGGTTTTTTTATTATTCTAAGTATACAGCTTGATATAAAAAGGCATAAAAACCTTTTTTTTGCATTTAAAAAATAGCTGTAACTTTTTTTGTAGTTAATATTTTAAAAAACACCGATGAGAATCCCTCCAAAATATTGTTCTTTACATATTTTATAATAGGTGTTGTTACTCTAAAACCATTTTTTAATGCCGTTTCGTATGTTTTTCACGGACATGTTTTCACCACTGAATATGGTCGGTGTAACGTCCTCTTAACGACCGCAGATAATATCATAACTCACATTTAGCTCAGTCCTTTGCTAACACACATCCAAATATACATTACTTTACAAAAGCTCTATTAGATATTCAATCATTCACTTACATTAAATTAAACAGTATTAATGAACCTAATAACCGTAGAAATTCACAATCAAAGACACGCCAAAAATATTTCAACACCATAATTTCGCATTTAAGGCAAACAATATTACCATTATGCAATTCGTCAAAGCTGCATCTAAACATTATCAAACCAAATTTTAAAACCAAAAAAAAATTTTTAAAACCTACATTTTTTTTAAGCAATTATTTTTTATTCATTTATTTTAATTAACTTTATTTTAACTACGAACTAGTGATCACTATTAATTATTATATCATTTATTATAATATAATGTAAAAAAGATATAAGTATCTAAATATAATATATATAAATAATAAATCTGTACATAAATTATGTAGGGACGTATTATAATTGTTAATAGGTAATTATATATTTTTCTATTTTTTCTATTTGATTATTATATGAATTTTTTTTTTAAATTATTGTTTTTAAATACAATAAATATATTATAATAAATCTGCAATTTAATGACCTAGATGTCGATGTATTTAAGATCGATAAAAAAAAAAA